GGCGTGTAAAACATACTTGAGATAAAGAATCTGCACACAGATTAAATTTGATTGAAAACTGGGAAAAACAAAAACTGGGTTTCTGTTGGAAGATCACAGGACACCCTGGTCCCCCTTGCTGTTAACGCAATTACAAGGTACACTTGTACTATCACTGAAATAATAAATCCTTGAAAGGGTGTGGCTTGTGGGGCTTTGGGCAGGTTAGGTTCCCGCTGAGGATGAGGGGCCAGGGAATTTAATCATGCCAGGGACTCCAGCAGCCACCTGCAGTGCTGCTTGGGAAGACGGGAGGAGGTGCTGTTCTAGGGATCTGGAGTGTGCAGTTTTTAATCACCCTTCAGAGTCCTTGCAAGTTGAGAAGAGGAAGAGGAATGTGAAGTAAGCAGGTAGTGCCAAGCAAAACTGGAATTAAGGAGAGAGAAAGCACAAGGTGAGGTCTGTGGGAGAGGGTGGAGTCTCACTCTCAGAATTATGCTCCTGCTTTGAACGTGAGTTAAGAAAACAACAGGCTTTCACAGATATACATCAGTAGAATTGAAGTACCAGCATTCAGCAAATATTTGTTGAGAGCTAAGGCCTACTCCAGAATTCTCAAATTCTAGTTAGTATAACAAAATCACAAAAGGAGCTTGTTTGAAATGCAGATTTTTAGGTCTAGCCATGAAGATTCCGATTTACTTAGTTGGGGACTAGGACTGAATTATTATCAGGCAGCTCCTGTGATTTGGGATGGGTGGCTCTTCGACCGACACAAGGACTTTGTAAAAACAAAACATGGATTCTTCAAAAGTTAGTATCCAATCAAATTAAGGGCTTTATCAATAAAAACAAACAAAATAGAATATTCTTTTGCCATCTCTTGTTTTGTTTTTGGTTTTTTGGGGTTTTTTTTTATGTTTTGTTACACTCCTAAATTCATTCACCTCTCAAATTCTTTGGCCTATTTACTGAACAGTAACATAACCCAGAATCACAGAACTATCAGAAGCAACAATAAATAGATTCTAAATCTGACTTCTCCAGTAATTTGCCATTCCTTAGAGCAAAACCCTAAGGAAGCCTCCCTGAAAGAGGGAAGGAAGGACAAATCAAGAGGGAGGTGAACTGCAAGTGAGCATTTCCTTTCAGGATTTGAAGATTAAGGACCTTTAGTCTGGGGAAGAAATTGATTCAGAAGATTCATTAGGGCTATGCAGTAACTTTAAAGATTTTTCACCAAGACCCATCCTAAAAATACATTTCAAATCACAACCTAGAAAACACACACACACACACACAAATAAGCCATGTATGTGTACTTGTGTGTGGTGTGAGTTTACGTGGGAATGCATGGGGAAATGGAAACTGATACTTTCTATGCTCTGCCTTTTCTTTTGTCTCTCGCTTTCTCCCTCTCCCCCCACCCCTCCACCTCCTTCCTTAATGATAGTCAGGATAGCACACACGGTTTTGCCCTGCTGTTTGAAAAATGCTGAGGTAGGTGTAGGATTCTAACCTCTTTGAGTAGGAAAGAAGGGGAGAGGAGCTGGAATTGGAAAAGAAGCTTGTTCACGAATTTGCCCTTTCTCCCTCAGGACTAACTCCCTCCCGTCATTCATCCATTGTCTATCTTGGCTTAGATAGTATCCACATCCTGCCGAGAAGACTTTACTGTTTTAGACGCTGATGTATCAAAGCAGGAAAAGTGTTCAGCGGAATATACTGATAAACAAATGAGTCTTTACTTCTTACCACGCTGGCCTCCTCACTGTCTTGCATGTGGCAAGACAGGTTCATTTTTTCTCAGGCCTCTTTATCTCCTAACCTGGAATTCTAGCTATCTACCAAATCATTCTCTTTGCCTACTCTTCTTACCTTCAGGGCTGCCAGAAGAGGTCTGCACTTCTTTTCCCAGGCCTTGAAAGCTACTGAAGGTACCTGGAGAACTGTCCATTCCCTAGTGTTCTGCTCAGGCAGGTGCAATCCACTTCAAAGGAAAGAGAATCGATATTGTTATTAATTTTGCAACTAAAGTCCTTACTTTCATCACTTGTAAATGAACTAAGAGACTCAAATGACCCAAGATCCCCACAATCAACTTTTTTTTATCAAGATAGCATGTTTCATTTTCATTGCAGCCAGTCTACATTGACAATTTTGTCTGCTGTTGTTGAGTGTTTAGCCTTGAAAAATATCAATTAAAGACGCCAATTTCATGAGTCACTTTTCATCACAGAAGGAAAAAACTCACCCTAGCCCCACTTTGTTGTGAACCTTTTTATCTCCATAAAGAAAAACGACAAGACCTGGCCAGCGTGGCTCAGTTGGTTGGGCATCATCCGGTGCACCAAAAGGTTGCTGGTTCAATTCCCGATCAGGGCAAAATCCACGAGTTCCTTAAGGGATTATAAAAAAAAAGTCACTGACCACTTTGCTAGGATTCCAATTAATTATTCTGAAGTTAACAAGGAAAAAAATAAAACATTAAATCTAATTACTTTGTGACATTGTTTTAGACATATTTACAGCCTCTGTGTGACCAAAGTATATTTGGCCATATTTGTAGTGTAAGTCTTCAGTATACTTTCCTGCGATGTAAACTTTGGCCTTCTAATATGATTATGAAACTAACCTTGCCTAATTTTGCTTTTTCTATAATTTCACATGAATAAAATTATTTAGTATAGTCCTTTGTATTTGACTTACTTCAGGCAACATTTGTTTTTGACATTTACCCATATAGGAATATTTTGTTCCTCTTTCGTGCTGAGTAGTATTTCATTGTATATGTTTATCACACTTTGTTTACCCATTCAGTAGTGCTATTTCTGTAGCTGTTGAAATGATAATATTGACTTTTTCCTATATTCTGTTAACGTGGTGAATTACATTGGATGATTTTCAGATGTTAAACCAACTTTGCATTCCCAGGATAAACCTCCCTGATCATGATATAGTATCTTCTCAAATGTTGTTGGGTTTGACTTACTAAAGTTTTGTTCAAGATTCTTATGTCTACATTTATGAAGGATATTGGTCTTAGCTCTCTTTTCCTTTGAGAAAGACAAAGTCATGCAGTGGCTTTTGGTATCAGGCTAACACTGATCTCCTGAAATAAATCTGGAAGTGTTTTTGTAATGCCCATTTCATGCCTGGCAGAACTTTGAGATCAAATATCAAATTCTGCACATTTAAATCATGTATATTAAAATATACACTTCAAATATAAAAATCTGTTCTGACCTTGTTCATTCTTTTTCTAATTTCCATAACCAATATATCCTATTCCTCTTCAAGCCTAGTTTGAAATAGCCTGCATTAGTGAGTGGCTTGTAATCACAGATTTATTTTCTATTGTTGACAGTGTTACAGATGTCCTCTATTTTCTTCTCCTTTGCCCCTCCCCTCTCCCCCAGGCCTTCACCGCTCTATTGTCTGTGTCCATGGGCTCTGCATATATGCATATATGTTCTGGTAATCACAGATTTTAGGAAATAAGAGGTAAGCAATTTTAGAGATTAATGTCACTAGATAGATACCTAGAGGGGAAAACCAAGAGCCTGGGGGACTGCCAGACCCTCCCAGAGCAGAGCGCCTCCCACCCACTCTCCATCATATCACCTTCTTTACAAGGCTTTGAGTGGTAAACGTATACAGTCTGCTGTGCATAGACTTACATTACCAAGTTAAGGTGTCCATCCTCACTCTTTTTCCTCCCTATGAAGGCCCGTCCACACTGACACAACCCAAGGAGGGAGCAGGAAAACAATGGAACTCCGGGGTCCTGCGCCTGGGGGTTCGCTAGTTGCACTGGGCATGCTCAGTCGCCGGGCAGATTTTTCAGTAAAGTGGAAACTACAACAGCGAGTACGGAGCGAGCAGAGGTGGGCGTGCCCTCGTGGAATTTAGAACGTTGTCGCAGCCAATGGGGCCTCGCGGCCGGCTGCCGGCGCTTCTCATTGGAGGAGCTGGGAGGCGAGCGAGTAGAGGGCCCCCTGAGGGAGCAGCGGAGGTGCGGGTCGGAGAGGCCGTGCCCCGCGCGTGAGCAGCTGCAGCGGCGGCGGCAACCTCCAGCGGCGGCACCGGCGGTTCCAGCCCGTTGCTTTACTTTTTAGCTGCACGAGCACAGGCATTATGCCGAAGAGAAAGGTAAGTCTTACCCGAAGATTCCAGAGGCCTCCAAATGGTGCTTACGGCAGACCTTGTCATTGCAATGGCTTGCGCGGAATGCGCTCAGTAATAAGTCGGGGATTGCGAATGTCTCGGCTCTCTGCTTGTTGTAGACATTTCCCCCTTCTTCTCTCCCTCCCTCCGCCCCCATCGATCTCCGAATGTTACTTTCTGTCCGGCGACGCGTTTTCCCCGCTTTTTGAACTCCTCTGTGGAATGGTTTCCAGCCCCAGCGAGACGCAAAAGCGAATGCGTTCCCTCTTCCAAGAGGGGAGTTTCCTCCGCAAACTACCAGGTTGGGATGAGTGCGGAGGGAAGGCGGCGAGAGGGGAAACGAGTCCACGCGCGGGGAGGTCGAAAAAGAGAAGTCGGGCAGATGTTGGGGTCGTTCCCACGCGGGCCGTGCCCACGGCTGGGTGCGCCGCGATGGCCCTGGAGGCTGAGGGAGAGGGAAAGCCATGTTTAGAATAGCGCTCACCCCCTGCTCGCCCGCGCGGCGGACCCGTATGTACCAACTCCGGTGTCAATCAGGGCTGGGGACGGCGCGGGCGGGGC